TGTTTTCCCCTCGGCAGCACCTTCCTTATTTTCCACAGAATACAACAACTTGTTACTTTTGTGAATTTTCCGCTTCACTGAAAATTTTATTTGCCACGCGTGAAATTTTATAATGCCACAAATTTCAGGTTTATGTAATGAAGCGTGGTGTGGGCGTGCTATAAATAATTATTTTCGCAACCACTTTGCCCACGCGCGCTTGTTTGGGTTAACTTAATCTTCGGTGTTGCGTGAAAGGCAAATCCCGGATTATTAGATTTCATTTGCTCTTCACGCGCCAATGACTGTCTGCACGACGACAAAGAAGCTTAAAGCAGCAACAATAACGTCGAGTTACGAACATGAAAGAGTAAATTAATTCCCGTGAAGTGTGCATTTCAATTGTAAAGTTGAATGGATTGTTCAGATTAATTGAAGAGAGAATTATCATTATTTGCAAATGGATGGAATTTTTTTCCCGAGCTTAAGTGAAAAAGGAATAACATTGTACTTGTGAAATTAATTATCAAATTCATGCAGGCTACAGAGCCTGGATCGCGATTTCAATCAATTTCAAAGCTCATCGGCAGGATCTGAATGTTTCAATAAAATGTTCTTGATCATTAATTTAGTATTAAATAGTGTCGAGAACTGATCATTGCAGAAAATATAATAAAACAAATTATTTAGCATATTCATTAATACTAAAATAACACTTCTTCTAAAACTTTCTTTAATAGAATAAATTTATTAAATTTCATTATTAATAATTTTTAATAATTAATCCTACTAATGCATTAAGGATTTATTTGGAATTCCCTCTAATTTCATTCGATGAAACAAAAAGCACACACTTCTTAACTTTCCCTAATTCTACTTAATTCACTTTTTAATCCAATTCCAAGCAAACTAACTCCCTGAAAGAACTTGCAAAGTTTTCGTATTAGAATATTTTCCTTGGGAAAACCATAAATTTCATAAGCGGCAAGTCCTTTGCTGCTCTCTCGCAAGAAGTGCAATTTGGTTAAAGTTATTTCGAGCGACTTTTCCATTGAAACGAGCGCTCAATTGGCGAGTAAAGGGCTAAAAAGCAGCCAGAAGCGAGCGAGCGAGCACTTCTTCTCACACACACGCCAGCAGAGAGTTGTTGCTGTGCTCTCTTTTCAAAGTTACTGCCAACTTTTCCGCGGGGCATTTAACAGCTCTTTCCTTTTCAAAATAGGAAATCCCCCGCTCGCAAAAAGCCACCGCGAAGAGAAACAAAGGAGGAATTTTACGCCCCTTTCTTTCTGAGTAACAACTTTCGTCGCGTTCAAAAGAGTTAAACACGAAATTCGCTCTTTTTTTCTCCTTGCCTCTCTCGCTCGCAGATTTCTGCCCCGACTTTGCGACTCCGCCCAACCACCAGCCAGCCGTAATCTGCTTTTAACCCTGCGTTCTTTTTCATCCCTGCGCGAATGAGAACCGCAAAATCTGTGGAGCAAAACGCCGCACGCCAAGACCACTTCTTCCACTATCAATTTCATCCCTGAACCCAGAGGGGCGGTTTTCGCTATGCTGCTTTCATGTCTCTCTCCTTTCGCCACCACCAAAAGGGCACCGACCAACTTTTACGCAGAGAGAAAGAAAGAAAGGAAGACAAGTTCAAGAGCTGCTTTTCCTTTTCGGAAAACGAGTGGAAAAGGAAAAGGCCTTATGAAAATTTAATTCAAATTATACTACCGCAGGGAGCCGAGTTGTTTCGCGTGAAGAGCAGTTGGAAAAGTCGTCGTCTTCATTATTTCATGTTGGAAAGTGGGCAAATTTGCCCGAAGAAAATAAAAGGAGCCGACGCGCGGAAAAAACTTGGCCCTATTTGCATAAAAATGCTGCCGGCACCGCGGACGGAATTTTACGAATAACCAGCTTGTTAGGAAAAACTTTTGGAGTTCGCTGGCGTCATCGTTCTCGGCTCTTTGTAACTTGCTGATATTATGATTTACAAACTCTTGATATGCAAAAGGATTTTCGTGAACTTATAAATTTGAAAAATTTACAGTTCACTTCTCAACAAGTTTCTATTTTTAATTGTGATATTTATATCAAATTTGATCTTTATGATAAAATGAGAAAATGACAGTATATTGTATTATTTATTTATTCACCATTCAAATATAGTTTTTTGATTTTAATTTTACTTATGGAATTACGTTCAAACACCATGAATCAACCTTCCCTGGTGGAAATTATGGGTACAAATGGATAAAAGACGATAATAGCAGATAAGATTTGAACCTACTAGAAGATTTGCAACGGAAAGGGTTGAAATTTAAAGGATTTACCGTGGGTGAATTCAACATCGGAACTCACAAAAGACGTAAAGGAGGAAGGAGGGAAGCGGGTTTGCAGCAGCCCCAGGAAAATTGAAATGAAGAGTCACAGAATTAAATTGCGAAAATTTCTCTCTCCCTCGCCCAATTAGTCGTCGCAATTTGTGCGTCAGCAAGCAAACACGCATACAAATATGCATGGTGCGCGCACATGTGTGCGAAAATTAATCTCCAGAGGCGGCGGCGGCGTCCCTTATCCTTTTTGTTTTTTGCACTCTAATCCCGCTTTTGTTTTGCGCGCTCGCTGCTGCCGGTTATTTTATTGATGAGAGCAAAACACGAGAATGACGAAAGCTGCGCGCGAGGACACATAAGACTTTTTGTCTGTATTTTTTGTTCCACCCACTCGCCGACCGGCGTTTTCATATCAAATGCGGTAATGCGTCATATTTTTTGTATAGTCGTCGGCGCGGCGAAAACAATAAAAAAAGGAGAGAGAAAGAGTCAAACGAAAGCTCTCTTTCTCTCTTTTGCCTGGTGGTGCTGTTATTTTTACATTGATATTCGCCAGGAAAACTGCCTCCGGGGGAGGGAGAGTAAAACAAAAGCTGGCGCGAGACACATCAAGCGGCGATATATTTTAATATATATCGAAATCCCTTTCGCACTGGGCCGTAAATTTTTCTGCTCAGGCTGCCGTGTGGATATTTTTGTGTTTTTTTGCTGACGGAACGAGAGATTGCTGCGCCGGCGGGGCCAACGTGCAGCTTGGGAAAAGGACCATTACCAGACGACAAGCGCGCAAAAGTTGAAAGTGAAATAAAAAAAATGTACATAATATAAGCATGCAGGGGGCGCGAGAATGACTTTCCCCGGCGGCTTTCCGCGAAATACACTTTTTGTTTGTTCAAATTGCGGCGCGGCAAAGGCAATTGCGCCACGAAACTTTGCTTTTTGGCAACTCATTGCGCCAAAAATGGCGGAAAACGTGAACTAGAATTGGAAGAATAAGTATAAAAATAAAAAAGTGCAAAATTCTCGGCAAAGTGAGAATTCTTTTAAATGACGGAGGTTTTGTAATTGAAATTAATTATTTTTTTGAGAATTCTTATAAAATTGTTCTTCATCTTTGATTTGTTTCAAATTAAAACCCTCAAGGTTTATATGAAGGAAACTATAAAATTTGTTTTTGGTTGAGCTGAATTTTTTCAAATCATTTGGAAAATAAGAAATAATAAATAATTGAAAAAAAAAAATTATAAATTTAACAATAAATTGACATGTGTTTGAATTTATCAAAATTCCCTCTTATCATCAGGGTCCATATCAATTTCAATGTAAAAATATGGTTATGATCAATCAACTTTTCCCCCAATATATTTCTTGTATTCAATGAATAGTTATTTTAATTAAAATATTAGTCAACGTAAAAGAAAAATATGCATTCTAATTTAAATTTTTCAATTTTATAATATAAAATTTTCTCTGACTTTGAATTTAATTTAATCTGTCCTATGTTTTATCTCACTCAACTTTGTGGAAATTTTCAAAACAAATTAATTAATTATTTTAAGTCAGTTGTTTATTTTTTTCAGTCCGTTGGAAATAAATACACAAAACTTATTAGTTTTAATATACCTTTTAAATTTAATTAATTTGTTCCATCGCTAATCCCTAAACAGTTGAAAATGGAAAAACCAGAACGAATTTCATGCAACGACAGTTGCTAGAGAACGACAGAGGCGCGAAAATTCCATTTCCCGGCTGTAAATTACGCCAAAGTAGAGCGTGCTAATAATTTTTACTTAACGCAGCCGAGCGTGCGATCGCTATCGCCGCGGCATGAATCATTTGATTATTAATTAAGCGCGTGTTTGTGTCGTGCAGTCTGTCGAGCAGACCACATAATGCATATCATTGGACGCAAACAGTAATTCGAGGGGGCTAGAGATGTCTATCGAGCATTTTTTGTGAATATATTTTTTCCTCAGCAGGAGATACGCCGCGTGAGTAAGCCGGCTGATTTTATAAAGTTACACCCACACCTGCTGTCGAAACAACTCGCGGCGAAAAGGGTGAAAACGGACGAGTTCTCTCTTTCAGCACCTACACCACTGTTGGAAAAGGCGTGTGCTTTGCTCATACGAGTATACTTTCCTGCATCACATTGTCAGACTCACCAGAGTGATTTCGCGCAGTGGATATCGCGCAGTGGATACGGAATTTCGGCTTTTGTTGAGAGCGGGCGAGAGAAAGGAAGCGGCTTTTCATTTCGCCGATGTCCAAACTGAAAGGCTCTTTGTGCAGCCGAGTTTTGATTGAAAAGAGCTGTGGAGGAAATTCGCGAGTGACTGAGAGTTAATTTCGAGAGCTTTTGGCGGAACAAAAACGATTGTTTGCTCTTGGGCGGAGGAAAACAAGCTCATTGTGAAAGGATTGGAGGCAACAATCCATTTCATAATTAGGTGTTGGTACTCTGATTGAGAGTGAAATAATAAAAAAATCCCTTTTCTTTGCTTTAATTAATTTATGTGGATATTCAAAAATATTGATATTTATCAAATTACTGATAAATCATAGTCCTCTTTTTTACTTCAGATAATAAAGTCTGTTTGAGAAAATTAAATCTGTTTTATAATGCAATCTTTTTTCTGTATCTGACACTGTTAAAAAAATTAAGCTAAAATAAGAAGTTTCATTGGAATATTGGACAATTAAATTAACAATTTCATTTGAATCAATCAAATTAAAGCTTAATCCAGATTTATGGAAACAATTGAGAACGTTTCATCGTTTAAAATTAGCTTATTTTAGAGAATTTAGACAACGTTAGTAGATCTCCATGGTATGAGGGCATAAATTGTTGATCTAATAGAATTTTTAATTATGCACATGAACTGATGTATATTTATCTAGAACTGTATGTAAAATTTTTATTTTATAAAAATGATAAGTGAGTGTGTTTTAAATTGTACATTGTGATACTTCTGCAAAATACGTTTTTAAATAAGATTTTTTCCCTTGTAATATTGAATTAAAATGCGGTAGGCAAATTTGCATAGTTATTCCAAGAACTAGAAACACCCGTTAATCGATTCCCTATTTTTATTACACCTTATGTAATGCCAACAAGCACCATTTCCACGAAGCCAAATATCCAAAATGTCATTCGTGTCACAATCGGCATATTAAATCAGTGACGACTTGTTGTTTATTCACATCGGCACTTTTATTTGCACGACGTCAACTGCGAAAAGACAATAGGTGTAGAGAGAGATGAGGTCTTTGAATAAAAGTCGCCAATTTGCTCATGTATTTTTTTTAGCGATTTGCGTGTTGAATCGTTCGGCGATGCCATTTCCTGCAGTCTGAAAAGCCATTAGCAAATCGTCGCACTGAAGAGTGGCGTCTCCTCTGAATGGCGTGTTGTGCGTGCTTAATTGCCAATGATGGAGCGAGTGTTGCAATCAGACCATTATTATTTAATAACGCCCGCCGATATTATGATGTTACACGCGTGGATTTATGCGAGTGTATTGCAATACATGTGGTGGTTGGTCGGTGTTATATTGCGCCGTGTTGCTGTCGAGGAGTGGCTCTCGCAGCACGTTTTATTGGTAATGATGGCGATATTTCACCGCCAAAGTGAGTGGGCACTCGGCTGCAGAGCTTCATTTTTTCGCATTAACGCGCTCCGGACGCGCCATTATTCATTTTTGATTCCCGGCCGCCGCTTTTTCAAACTGCAAAAACGACGTCCAAGCCCCCCCGGCCGATTTATTGTTCACGCAGCCGAAAGGATTTCATTTTCCAACGTGACAATTTTATGCTCGCGCTGGGAGTATTTATATTCTTTTGATATTATTGGGTGTGAAATTGCACAGTTGTGTCGCTGTCCAATCCAAAATCAATACAAACGAGTCCGAAAAAATTTATCCACCAAAAAGATATATAAATGTTCTGGAAGAGAAAATTTGATACGAGGAATAAATTATTCGGTCTATTTCATTAGTTTTTTTTTCTTAATATCATTTGCAACAAATTTTATTTAAATTCTTCCTGAAAGTTAATTATAAATCTTGCATCAATCAGAAGTAGAAAAACGCTATTTGTTTGTCATAAATGTCTATTTTTTTATCAATTGTTTCTTTCCTACTAGAAATTTTTAAAACAATTTTTCTTTATTTTTAAACAAGCGCTAAAGCGCTTGCGTTAAACGCAAGCATTTTCGGAATGTTGTTGTGGGACTGTATAAAGTTAATTTCTTTTTAATCAAAACTTAATTGGAGAGAATGTGAAAAATAATGTTTAAAACGAGAAAAACGAGAAAAAGATAAAAATCAGCGTAAAGAATCAATTTGGAACACCCTGTAGGCTATAAGTTGAAGGGTGGAAGTAGTTGGGCTGCGTGAGGAATCCAGGGGAGACGAACTGAATTGGTTTTAAACTCCATGAATCCTTAGGCATGATGGTGTAGAATCGTATGAATTGAAATGATGGTAATTTATGTGTTGTTATTTTTTAATTGCTATATATGATGATTGTTGAACAGTAATTTATTTATTTTTTTTTCATACATTATAAAAAGCTGTTTATCATGATTGTTGAATTGAATTGTTGTTAACATTTTTTTTTTTTTTATATGATGATTGTTGAATTGAAACAAAGGATTTTGAGTTGAAAGATATGAATTTTTAATTGATAGTTTATCTTTGAATATTTTTTTTCATACGTCATGTTTACATAAGATCAGAGGCAGTAGCAATTATTGAAAACACAAAAACATTTAAAATGCATTTGTTTTGTCTTTTCAATTAAATGCTTTGGTGAAAAAGTAGTTTTCACACGAAATTAAGATATATTCCATAAGTAGTCTTGTTTACATAAGATCAATGGCGAATATGTTACGTAGTAATATTACACAATACAATTCAGTTCAAATACATTTGTGAAATCAAATCAGGTCGGCGACAGATACATTGTAGAATGTTATGAATGCAATTGTTAATCATTTTTGGTACCATTTCACATCTTATATCAAGTTCGTCATCAAATATCAATGAATTAAAGCAGAAGTATGGTGGCGGAATTAATGTAAAATTACAATTTCAATCGTGAAATAAAGTATTGCAGTCTGAAATTGTGTGATGAAGGTCATTGAACTCATAGGAATTGTTGGTTTTATACAGAAATATGTCGTGAGTTGGTTAGAACAATGGATTATGCAGCAATAAAGAGTAAAGTGTGAAGTGCTTCAGCGAGGGAGCTCGCAAGCCTGTAACGAATTGGCGGGGTGGGCAAGCAATTGACTAAACCTCGAACAAAACTGCAGGGGAAAACCACCCCTGAAAACCCTGCAGCTGTCAGTCAGGAAGCACACGCAATTACATATTAATCACTTTTTATACGTTGTCATACGAGTTCAATAGTGTTAATTCAGGCGATTTACATTCATTGGCAAAAATTACAATAGAGCAATGGCAGGCGACAGTAGTTGTACATTTTAGGTACAGTGCAGTGCAAATGTGGCTTTGACGAGTTTTTGTAAGTACAGATCAGGGCAGTGTTTTGGCGGTGGCAAGAGGAACATAGAGCGGACTATTTTTGAATATCTATCATGCGAGTGGTTAAATATTGAGCAATGCGAGAGCAGCACAGGCAATCGAGGAAGAGTATTGTATTTCAAATATTGCTGGGCATGAGGTCAGAGACGACACGTATTGGGTGGTTTGTGGGAGGTAATGTCTGCACGGTCGCTTCTCAGGCATGACCAGCTCGATGGTAGCTCTAAATGGCGGCCGCTAATTATTCAAATAGAATTGCTCTAAGTGAAAAACGTGCAGAAACCAAATGGCTACCACCATCATGCCTGGACGGGGTTTCGGCGTGATCCAGTGTTCGAGCAAACACAAAATTTCGAGTTGGCGAGACTCGCGGAGGATCAGCCGTGCGTGTGTACCGCAATCTCGCTCGGGAATGGGACGAGAGCAGCGGAGGCTCACCGGTAATATCAATTGAAATGCCGAGTGGCAAAGGAATTTGAAATTACAGTGATCAACCGCCGCGCAACGTGACCACCGCGAGACGCAGTACGTGCAGAATGCTCAGAATTCCAGCAATGTCAGGTTTTTCGATAGTTTCTCATGGCACTCAAACTGTTCACACATGCGTTTTTCGCTCAAAGGTCGTGTCCGGTCAAGACGTCAACAATGTCGTACGGATCGTCGTAGACGTCGTTCGGGTCAGGGTCCTGAAACTGAGAGGGAGAAATTATTTTTGCATGTGTTTAACATGATTAAAAGTCGCGCGTAACCAGCCCGAGGTCGGTGAGGGCGCTCTCCATCTCGGGGTCAAGGACCATGTAGGACGGGCACTCTGTGATGCCCTGCTTTCTGAGGCGAACGCAGAACTCGCAGTTCTCGTTGGCGCAGAGTTCGTCAGATTGGAATGTGCGTTTCGTCATGTCCGAGTCCACGATTGCCGGCACGGAGAAAGAAGAGTCCTGGCTAAGGGGCACCACCTGGGGACTGGCGGTGGGTTCGCTTCTGCTCAGCCTGCGGTCGTGAACCTTCTTGCGCAGGAAGTCGATGTCGGGCTGAAAAAAAGTAAAAGTAGTTGGTCGTGAGTAAAAGTTGCATGGTAAGTAATGTAAAATTCAAATTTTACCTGGATTTCGAGGTCGAGAGGTTCGGGATGTGTGACCACGGGGGAACCGTCCGGCGACGCGAGCGGAGGAGAGTCCTGAGGCTGCTCGTCTCTTCTGGCAGTGGCGCTCAAAAGGGTTCGTCGATCGTGCGGGAATTTCCTCGTGGCCCTGGCGACCTCAATCATGGCCGAACGATCGAGCGTCTTTGTTGGTCTGGACGCGTGCGAGACGACCTGCATGCGACGGAGGTCTGCCGCAGAAAGTTGGTTGATTCTGATCGCTTTCGCGCAGGTAACCATCTGACCGACACCCTCAAGTGGGACGGTGGGGGACGACTGAGGGGTGCAAAACAACTATGGGAAATTTAGAAAGACTGAGAATTTAAGGGGGAAAACAAATTATTTGCAAGTACCTGCGGCGATGGAGCTTCTTGTTGCTGCACTTCGGGAGTGCGAGGAGGGCTCGGGATGGGCGAGGGTGCGATAATCTGCGACACGCCACAGTCATCCTCGACAATGTTGTCCTCGTCTTCATGACCGTCCTGCGGGGAGAGAGAGGTAGGATTAATTTTCAAAGTCATTACCTAACTAGTCTGGATAATACGTGATCCTGCCCGACGAGCTGGTGGATCCTCTGGTAAATGTTGAGGGCCGGTGCCGGGGGCTGCGGCTGTTGGGGAGCCGGGGGTCGCCGTTCCATGTGCAGATCCCAGAGTTCACGCCGGACGGGATTGTGAGTGAACCACTGGCCGATCTCGCGGCAGTAGCCCTGACGAGTGTCTTTCAGGATGAGAAGTTTGATGTCGTCGGGGCTCTTTACTCGCGAGAGGCCGACGTATGGTTTGCCGTGCTCCTCCAAGTAATTGGGAAGGTACAACCCGACCTGTGTGTGTGTGTGTGTGTGTGTGTAATATTTAGAACAGAAATATAAATTGCAAATAAATGTTACCCGTTTCAAAGTGAGTCCCTGCGCTTTGTTGATGGTCATCGCGAAAGCCAATTTGATCGGGAATTGGGCTCGCTTCATGCGGTGAAGGGCGCCGACGTCGCAGAAGAAGTCAATGCGGGTGACGTCGACAACGCGGCCCTTGATGTTATCGCTGCCGCTGAGCACAGTGCCGCGGATGCGGGTCCGGGAGAAGTCGGAGACACTAATCCGCGTGCCGTTGACCAGTCCCGAGCTGACGTCAATATTCCTCATGAGGATGATGACCGCACCCTTTTTCATTGGAATGCTGTGGTCAGGGATGGAGTTGTCGGTGTGGTCATTGAGCTCTTCTAGGAGCACCGGCATCCGGCCGTTGCCGTAGTCACCGTTCAGAATGGGGTCGTCCGGGTCGTCATCTTCGATGCTGTCGTCACTGAGAAGGTGGGTCACGTCGCCGGGAAGCTGTTGGAGGACCTGGAAGTAGAATTAAAAGAAGCGGACGGTCAGTTTCGGAAGTAAATAAGAATGCAAGGGAAGTTCAAATTGCTCTGGGGAACTCACCATGGAGTTTACGAGCCGGCAGTTGTCGTTGAGGTGGGTAAGCACGCATGCCTCTTTGCCGGAGGTCGCCGGATCCTCGCCGAACGTCCACTGGAGCAAATCTTCCAGCTTGGAAGACTCGATGACCCATTCTCTGGGAACAATGAAAGAATTGGGAGGCAGAGAGGGGTGCGTTGGGGCTGTGCCTTCACCGATCGACCGCAACAGCTTGGCGAACTCAAGTTCTTGCGGATTGGCGCGCATATTTTTCTCCAAGCTGATAACTGTGCATTTTTCAAAGAGACGCGAGTAGCGAAAGTGAATTTCGCGCTCGGTCTCGTTGTCGCCGCAGATGGGAGCGAGCTGCCTAAAATCCCCGCCGAAAAGAACCGGCACGCCGCCAAACTCTGGGTCATCGAACTCTTTACAATTCTTGGCACGCCTGACCAACTTGTTGGCGATGTTGTATGCGTGCACCGGTCCCATCGAAACCTCATCAATGATGAGCAAGTCAGCGTCCTTGAGGGCCTTGTACCTGAATAAGATTTGTGGAGATGAAGGGGAAGAAATTAACTAAAATTATAATCACGAGTCCATGTGCGGCTCGAGGCGACTTTCAGACTTGGCGTCGAGCGGCACTGGCAGTCCCAGTGCAGAGTGCAAGGTTCGCCCGCAGGGCAACAGAGACGCCGCGACCCCCGTAAAGGACATACAGAGAACTTTTTTTCCAGACTTCACCAGAGTATCGTACAACACCTTGTACGTGAAGGTCTTGCCGGTTCCGGCCGGTCCCTCAACAAAGTAGAGACTGTCGACGCGGCCCACGCCGCTTTTGTAGACGTCCACCGCCCTGACGAGAGTCTGCACGACGCGGCTCTGCTGTTCGTTGAGCAGGCTGGTGGTAGCTGAGAAGTGGGAAATTTTATTGAAAGTAAAGGAGAGAAATAAACAAATGTTTATATTGGTGTACCGATGAGCTCTGCGTCTGTGGGAAGAGCATCTGCCTGAGCGGCCTCGTCAAACTCGAGGACGTCGGCGTCTCCTTCCAGATCCACGCCCTGGAAGAGAGAGACGTCCAGCTGCGCGTTGTTGAGTTTGAGTTTGCGGGCAAAGTAACGCAGGAGTCGATTGCGAACGTCCTCCGCTTGCAGCCCGCGTCTCTCGAACTCGCCGGCCATGGAGCGCCAGAACTGCTCAAACAGAGCCTTGGGATCGGTGGGTGCACAGTGCAAGAGGATCATCAAAAAGAGAAGGCGCATGCTGAAAGGAGTGGAGCCGAGGGTGGCCTCATCGAGACACCTAGAGAAGGGGAAAGTTAAGGATAGAAATTTCGCAAAGCAAGATTAGCAACCTCTGGTACTCGGCGTCGTCTCTGACCAGTCCGAGAGCGACGGCCGCCTCCCTGAAGGTGTCGTAGAGGACGCCGTCGACCGTTCGCAGATCCGCGTAGCTGAATATATGGATATGAATGTAGCGGAAAGGAAATAGGGTTATCAGAAAAAAAATATAAACCTTCTGGGTGCACAGCGGGCCATGACGAGGGCGCGCAGGTAGAATCTCTCCCTGTTCTTGGGGGAGACTGTGTAGATCGATCCGATCACTGGTTTTGTAGTCACCTCCCTAAGAATCCACTTGTGGGCTTTGTCGTCAAACCTGTACCTTTCCGGGACTTCCTCAAATTTGATGGTTGTGAGCCAAGCGACCTCGACCGGGTCAACAGTCTGCGCGTTTAGGTCAAAGTATGCCAGGAACGGCGTGTGTTTCAGTGGACGGGAGGCAGCGTTCAGTTCAGTGCCGGCCCTGAACACGATGGGCGTGTCCTCGGGCAAGTGAACGTTGAGCTCCACAACCTGCACAATAATTAGATAAAAAGGAAGGCGAAAAGGAAATATAAAATACGGCAAAGAAACTCTTCTGCATCTCAAACGCAAAGATGCGCCAGATGGCCTGCATGACCGTCATGTAACGCGTCTCCTGGTGCATTTTAAGCTCATCAATGAGGATCTGTACGTTTTCACCGGTCTCAGGGTTGCCAGTCATCCTCATTGAAAGGAAGACTCGATCGGTCGCGTTTGGATTGTCAGGGTTCTGAGATGGTATAGGGAGAAATGAAAAAAATGAAAGTAATGCTGTGACACAACAAACCCTGATTCTGTGACCGTATTTTTGGTATGTGACCTCCACGGTGGCCTTATCCACACCCTTCGTCACATATTTGAAGACGTACTTGGCTTGTCGAATGTTCACAAAAATGTTTAGGTTGGAGTGGATCTCGTAGCGAACGGCAAAGTAGATGTTGGTGCCAACCGTGTCTTGGTTCGTGTAAGTGAAATTGAGGATGACCACAAAAAATCCAAGGTCTCGGCGCCGCGGCTCAACGAAACCCTTTCCATCGTCCAAGGTGGTGGCATCGCGAAAACGTTTTCGGTAGCCGCGCTTGCAAACACCCTTTTTGTTCTTACATTGTGGTCCGCAGAGCCTATGGATGTTGTGTTTGACCTGGACGCGGTGGAAATCGGGGTGCACATTGGGGTCGGCCAATTCACACGTGACAAATTCGTCAACATCGTCTGGTGTTAGGATCTGCGGAGGGGATTAGCAAGGTTTTTTAGATATTAATGATACACTCGTAAGGTTACCTTTCGGTCTGTGGTAATGACACAATGGATGTGAGGCAATCCACGCTTTAGAAACTCCGTCACCTGGACGTAATTCTTGACGGTTCCCCATACTTTTTTGTTAAAAAGTTGATCTTGAAAATCCCGAACTTGCATGTAGAACACCCTACAAACGAGATCTGCGTTTAGGCTGTCGTCGTTAGGCCGGTAGGATGGATGGTTGAGGACGTCGCGGTGCTTTGGGTCTGCAGTCATCGTCCAAAAGAAGTTTGGCGCCCCGGTCTTCTGCAATGGAAAAGCGTTAGATGAAACGAAAGTGTGAAAAAACTGTTACAACTACCCTAATGCTGGCGATGCAGTGCCGGTAGAGACGCTGCATCTCGATGTCACCACCTCTGAAGCTCGTGGGAAGGACGAAGCTCCTTCCAGCCTCGCATCGGACACCCTGATCGCGCTGCCTCTGCACGGTGCGTTCTAAAAGGGCCAGCATGTGGCCTCGGCTGGAAATCATTAGGTCTTGTGGCATTTGTGATCTTAAATAATGCAGATCCGAGTCTTCAATTTTGAGCCAGAACTCGATGATTGCTTGCTGCGTTAGGCCACCGCTGGCCAACTCTGGCTGGAGCGGATCGCGACGCATCAGTCGCTGTCTGCGGAAATTTTTCATGTAAGTTAAGCATGTAGGAAATTATAGCAAATCTCACCTGTAATATTGCCTCATGGTCACGCGGTTTCGGATGTTGGTTGCGTTGGGGCCCTGATGTTTGATGTTGGGGTGCCATCCAAAGGTTCCACGAGGGTTAATCAGCGGGTAGGCAAAGGCGTCGCGTAGAGGGTGGGTCGGGAGCACCTCAAAGTTGGCCCCGTGCTGGTGCACGTAAATGCCAGGAGTCGCAGGCTCGCCAACAACATCGTAGAGCACTGCCACCTCGGATTCGTGCCTGGGCACCGCGTGGGTGTGCTGCTTGAGCGTTACATTGTCCTTGCCCGGCTCCTTGAAGACCAAAGTGACCCTGCCCTCCTCGCCGGCAGCGAGTTGCTCGTTGAGTAGCGTCTCCATGTTTGTGTACATTCTATAGAGCGGATTGTTCTCTTGGAGCCAGGTAAGAAACGCTTCCACAACCTCTGGTTTAAGTTTGTCACCACCGGGAGCGTTGACGATGGCCTCCGTGGCGGTGGCTGGGTCGACGATGGCCACCAGCTGAGCGTTCGATCTCAGGTGAACGTCGTTCAGTTGCCTCCGGTCGTTTGGACCCGGTCTGTTTGGCTCAAAGTTGGCCTCGGCCGGATTCGGGAGGGGATCTGCGTTGTCAAGCGTCATGCGGCTCTGGCCGTAAGTCTTATAGATCCAAGGAAAGCCATCCAGGTGAACTCGCTTGGCCTTGTACGCTGCCAAAGAGAGACGGTTGTTGAGGAGCCGCAGGTGCTTGACATTTTCCCGCACCAGAATGAGCAGTTCCTCAGGGTACGGTGGAGCGTCTTTGTCGTAAGGTACTTTCCCCCGCTCGCAGCACTTCGAGAAAGGGTTCTGAGCAGGGTCCACCTCACCCTCGTAGAAGATTGCGAGGCAGTTTGTGCATACGTACTCCGGCTCACCGCACGCACCGAGGCTGAATCGTTCGATCTCGATCGGTGGGGGACCCCTGGCAATATTAAAGGTGCCGTTTCTGACGGCGCGGCGGTAATTCCTTTCATCATTCATATTCCGAAACTCGGCAGGCGGGGTGTTTGGGCGACGGAAGTCGGGAATATTCTAGAGTAGAAAAGAAATGGATCAGTGTACATGAAATATTCACAATGTTACATCATCGACCGTTGCGACCGGCCGTGGATTGACTGTGTTGTTTGATTGCCGTGGTGGCTCCCAGTCTGGATCTCGTCCGTCGTCAACGTTCGGATCTGCACTTGACTGGCTTTGTGTGCTGCCACTCTGAGTAGCGGCGACTGGTTGAATCTGGGGCCTGAAAAGGGTGGGTGCGAAATTTTGTAAAATGTGGGGCTTAAAATTTATTATCAAGTACCTGGTGTTCACGTTCCTCGCAGAGCGTCTCAAAGTCCTGTCAGAATAGACGGATTCACTATCAGCGAATGGTGGGGGAGACTGAGGTGGCGTCTGAGGCCTTTGGATTGGTCTCCGCACAGGAGATGTGCATCTGGTGGGGTCAGAAGTCTTCTTTCTGAACCTGCCACTGGTATCCTTTGGCGTGCGAGCTGATATGAAAAAGGAAGGAGGTGCCATTTTATAGGTTGAATTACAAAACTTACCACCATCAGTTTCTTTCCCACTCATTACTGTGCGTGTGACTCTAGTGTGATGGAGGGCAGGGGGTGGAGCATTGGTCAAATTTAGAGATTCCAATTCTCGAGCCGAAATACTATTTTTTTTGCGGTGTGAAGTGAGCTGAAATTGGTATTGTATGGATAGTGAATTAGTATAGTAACTTTCGCTTTCAGATGATGTTACGACTGGTGTATTAAGCTCATCTGGTTGGCCTGCCTGCGATGTGTCAGACTGTTCACGCGGCGGACGAGATTGAGTCGTTGAAGCGACAGTGGCCTGCGTCTGATTTTGCCGAGGCCTGCCACGGGGTCTCTTTTTGGGTAAAGTACAATCGGTTTGGTTGGAATTGAGTTCATCTGTTTGGCCGGCTAGCGATGTTTCCGACTCTTCACACGGCAGACGAGAAGATGGCGTTGAAGTGACAGTGGTCTGCGTCTGATTTTTCCGAGGCCTGCCTCGGGGTCTCTTTTTCGGTACACTGGTTCCGTTGGAAGAATTGACAGATGCTAACGGAACGGAGCAAAAATGACTGTGTAAAGGAGATGATGGGAAATGGCATTATAATAAATTACCTGCCGCATTCTGACCACCATTTTGCGTTAGAGGACCCTGCAGTGGTTGTTTGCCATCATTAGGAGAAGCAAGAGCGTAGGCTGCAGACGCTTGCTGAGAGAGAGTAGGAGTAATCAGGTTGGGGGTTTTGCGTGGTCTGCCCCTGGGCCTTTTGATACCAGCACGGCTGGCAGGTGACTCTGGATCTGTGATTTAGAGAATGATATTTACAACACAGCATATATTGGAATTGAGATATTTTGTTATTGAAATATTGCGTAGGTCCATATATTTTTAGGAAGAGGGCGTTTTTCCATACACATTTTTAGATGGTCGAGTGGTAGTGGCAAAATACTGAATTTGATTGTAAAAATGGTGGATGGAAACGACATAGAGTAATTGTGTAATACAATTATGAATGGGATATCTTTGTATCATTTAAAATATAAATTGATATGATCCAGTACCGGATTGTTTAGCGCCAGAAATAGCAGCTTGGAACTGACGAGCCTCTTCCGCCCAGACCGTCACGTTAACTGGTTCATTAGTAATTGGCAGAGGCACAGAGTTACCGGCAGAGGACCGCAACCTCTTGCTCATGGAGCGGGTCGTCACCGAGTTCGTCTCACTCAGCAGGCTTGTGCGAGTGGACGCCAGACTCGAGCCACTGCTTCTGGCCTCGGAGACTGCCCGGCTTGGAGGTGGCTTGAATTGAGCACTGGCGACACTCTCACTCTCACTTGCACTCTTTTTTTGGTCATTATATCTTTTAAGGTTGTTTTTCTTTCTTCGCGGCATACTGCGAACTCAGAAATTAATTATAAATTTAGAAAAAGTCCGTGTTGTGGTGTATTGAAGGTTTGCTGAAAAGTGGAAAATGTAAAGAAAAATGGGCATTAAAAAGTAAGGCAACATTTGTATACATATAAGACGGGGGTATGTGAAACGGGGAGATAAAGAGAAAGGGAAGGTAAAAACAACATTAATAATAAAAGACTATCACACCCAGTTCAACACTCCTTGTGTTACTGAGTGGGTATGCTGAAATGTGGAATGAAGAAAAACGAGAGTAAATTAGCGAATTAATATAAGTAATAAAATTTCAATGTACAAATGGAAGGGGGCTCTGAAAGGGCAGAATTAGAAACAATATTATTTTTAAATATTAGTAGTTGTAAAAAAATATAATTGTAATGTGAGTACAAACCTTTAAATCCAAAATAGAAACATCGAAAGAAATTTGGAGACCGGTGTACCTGGAAATAACGCGAATTTTAGCGGTTTGGTAGGCAAGCAGTACGACCCTGTTAGAATGATGGTTCTTATATTGAATTATTTGAATGAAACGGATTTTCCAATAATATGTCATTGAAAGTGGGCTTTGGAGGAGTTGGAAGTAAGCAAATAAAAAAATGACAATATTACATTGTTGCACATTTATACTGAATTAATGTGCTTGGATATAATGTGATGTATAAGTTGTTAATATTATATGCGGAAATTCGGGGGAAGAAGGGCGAAAGATGATGTTTTGCGGCAGGCGATTAGTGGCCCGCGATGCAGAATGCAAAAACTCGCCATGAGAATTTTGGGAAAAATGATTTTTGCAACCTGGTTATGCAAACATTTTTCCAGATTTATGTACTATGAATGTCTGTGGATGGACAGTGATGCATATTGATAGATAATTTGTTGGGGAAATTGATAAAAAAAAGAGGGCGGAAGTTGGCGTTTGGCGGCCGGCGAAAAGAGGCCCGCGATGCAGAATGCACTAAGTCGCCGCGAGAAAGATGGAAAAAATATGGATTGCGACATGATTTATCCAAACATTTTTTCAGATTCATGTAGAATTAATGCCTCTGGTTGGACAGAGATGCATAATTAATGACAATTTGTTTTGGAAAATGATAAAAAAAAGAGGCGAAAGTTGACGTTTATCGGCCGGCGAAAAGAGGCCCGCGATGCAGAAAGCACAAAGTCGTGGCGAGAAAGACGAAAAAAATATGGTTTGCGACATGATTTATACAAATATTATTTCAGATTTATGCAGAATTAATGCCTCTGGTTGGACAGAGATGCATAATTAATGACAATTTGTTTTGGAAAATGATAAAAAAAGAGGCGAAAGTTGACGTTTGTCGGCCGGCGAAAAGAGGCCCGAGATGCAGAATGCACAAAGTCGTCGCGAGAAAGACGAAAAAAATATGGTTTGCGACATGATTTATACAAATATTATATCAGATTTATGCAGAATTAATGCCTCTTGTGGGATAGAGATGTATAATTATAGATAATTAGTTGGGAAAATTGACAAAAAAAGAGGCGAAAGATGACGTTTTGCGGCCGGCGAATAGTAGCGGGCGACATACATAAAAAAAATAATGGTCTTGCCGATGTGGAAATTAATTATTTTTTTCAGAATTATGTACAACGAAGTGTCCATAATCATTTAGAAGCAAAGCAGGGTGGTTATAAATCGGTGCAGCACATAAAATTTAGGTTTAATGTTGGTTGATACGTGAAAGAAATGGCGTCACCCATGTGTTGCTTGCATGAGAATTTTATTTAAAACCCTCCAAAATGAACCTTTGTTAGATGAGTCGGCCGGTGGCGAGTGGTCCGGTGACCGAGGTGATCAGGTCAGGGGTCACAATGTGCGGCGAAACGGCAGAAACTGGAGAGAATAGAATTAGGGCCGGCTGACCTAATATTAAAATGGAGCAAAAACTTACCGTTGGTTACATTTTAGCGGAATAATTGCAGCGAATCGAAGCTCAGGCGAGGGGCACGACAACAGGTCACGGCACGGGTCACTGACTTGTCCGAAAGGCACGAAATTGTCCACACAAAAGCGGGACTAGACACTGGGTCAGTCGGAAGACTTTTCACTTGGCGCGCGAGGGACTGAAAGAGAAGGAACGCGGGTGCAGCAGGAGAGACGCGCCGCGCTGTCTGGCGATTCCAGACGGAAAAATTATGTCTGGGCTTGCACAGAATTGCAGCGCGGGAAACGCTAACTAGGAAATGCCGCGTACTTGGTTGCATTAGATGACGGCCTATTAATAAAGGCATAAAATGTATGGGAAATGTAATGTGAAGGGAACGAATTTTTTCAGGCAGGGTGAAAATGTGTGACTTGCATTTTGCAAAGATAATGTTAATAATTAATTTGTATATGTATAATGCAATTATAAATCAAAAGGATGATTTGAATTAAAATTGGAATAGTATTAAGGAAAAGAATTTGTAAAAAATGAAATGTATGATCGAAAATTATTAATAAGGGTTATGAGTTTCGGTCCTGGGGCCGGCGCGGGCCCGCCTCCAGTGATCTGAGTCGTGTCGAGCGAAATCGAGTGTTAAAAAGTCATAAGAAATTTTTTTTGCCGAAAATTCGGCAATTCGGCCCCGGCGGGCCCTGGAGACCCCTTGAAAAATCAACCAAAAAATTAGCATCATTTTGCTTTTTAAAAATCGAAAATCCGTCCAGTAGAACGGCCGCGGCGGCCTCGCGCGTTTGCTTTTTCCCCCATAAGAATAACACAGGCCGCGAGTTAGCGAAGCGACGGACGAAACTCGGAGGCGCCGCGTGTTAATAAAATTCGCCGGAACTCCGCGATTCATGCTCATTTCATCAGCGGCCGGCTGAATTCGGCCGCGGGTGACGAATTTCGGCCGTGGGACCGCCGGGGGGCCGCCGTGGGCCCGCCTCGAGCGACCCGATTCGAGCCGATCGAAAACCCATGTTAAATCCCATAAGAAAATGTTTTTGCCGAAAAATCGGCAATTCGGCCCCGGTGGGGTCGGGCGACCCCTGGAAAAATCGGCCCAAAAATTAGCTTCATTTTGGTGTTTAAAAAACGAAAATCCGTTCACTAGAACGGCCGCGGCGGCCTCCGGCGTTTGCTTATTTCCCCCATAAGAATAACACAGGCCGCGAGTTGGCGAAGCGACGGACGAAACTCGGAGGCGTCGCGTGTAAATAAAATTCCCCGGAACCCCGCGGTTCGTGCATATTTCATCAGCGGGTGGCCGAATTCGGCCGCGGGTGACGAATTTCGGCCGTGGGACCGCCGGTGGGCCGCCGTGGGCCCGCCTCGAGCGACCCGATTCGCGTCGAGCGAAAACGCATGCTAAATCCCATAAGAAAATTTTTTGCCGAAAAATCGGCAATTCGGCCGCGGCGGGTGTGGGCGACCCCTGGAAAAATCGGCCCAAAAATTAGCTTCATTTTGGTGTGCGAAAAACGAAAATCCGACCACGGGAACGGCCGCGGCGGCCGCCGGCGTCTGCTCGCCCGTTCTCCCATAAGAAAAGCATTGGAAGGTCGTTTTGCATAAATCGCAAAAGCCTAAGGCTTTTTTGCTATGGGAATGCGACCCATGGTCCTATGGTGATTCGGACGCGTCTCGCAAAGGCGCACAACTCTCTGGATGTACTTTTTTCGATTTTTGACTTTTTGCAATGTAATTTCTCAAAAAAACCGGTTTTTTCACCCTTTGGAGGGCCGCCATACCGCCAAAAAAAATCGGAAAAATCGAGTCTACCCGGGAAATTGTAGCGCACAGACGGGCCAAAACGCCCTGGGATCCGCTGTTTCTATGGATTTTTTTATGTCAGCCGTTTTCGCACTTGAATGCGAAAAAAATGCGTTTTTTTGCGAATTTTCAGAATTACCCTGAATTTAAGGTGGGAAGGAGTGCCGTGAGCGAAAAACGGACAATGACGTCTAATTAGCAAATTTAATCGCGCGTCGAACGGTGCCCACGCCAACCTTCTCGCTCGGGTAGGTACCGAGCAGTAAAGCGCGAAAGCCGAAAAGACGTATTTGGGCCGCGCGGGCCCGGCGGGGCCCAATCCGGAAATCGGGCCGATACGGGTCGTTGAAATGGGGTTCCCTACCGGGTGATGCGGCGCTGCGCGGCAAAACAGTCGAGAAAGAAAAGTGCGACTTGGTATTATTTTATTGTGTTAGAATTTTAATGTCATTTATTTATCAAGGTTGATTGTGGATTAGTTGTAAAATATATAATTCAATAATGTTCAATTAATATAAAAACTTGAGGAAATTCCTGTCCCGTGGTTTTACTGCGAGAATATTTTTGTTAAATATATAGAGCTGGACAGTTGTCGCGTTTTGTTAAATTGGCCTACGTGTTGAAGTTGACGGTAACAAAATTGTGCGTGATAAAAGTTGTGGCTCTGTTATCACTTTCGGCGTCGACTGCTTCCGAGAACGTTTCACCTGTCGCCTGAGGAAGCGCGAGGCGAAACCGAATATTCAAAGATGACAAATTTGTATATCGACAATCGCCTTCTCACTTTTATAAGTAGTTTGTTTGGAATATCAGGCAACATTCTTCACAACAGAAAAAAAAAATAATAAATTGATCCAGTATTAATTTAAAATACTAATTTGGGACAAATATTAAGCAAAAATTTATCGTGGCTCCGAAATCACCATGGTTTCTCACCTTTTAAAGTTTTAGTTAAAATAAGACATTCTTTACCATTTCTTGCTATTGGATTCTGGAAATTTGTTGTGCATGTTTTATTTTTTAATTACAGACTCGCTCCTGTTGAAGTTTGTCGGAAGGATATGGGAACACGCATATTTGACAAACAAGAGTCAAGGTCTGTAATTTCGCTCGCAGCGTGATGCGCTGATAAAATTGGTGTGAAAATCGCAATTAGCGTTGCCACGCACGCTTTGCTTTTAATAATATGCACGCTCACTCGCGTCGTCGCTAATTTAACTAGAACACACGGCGCGCTCTGAATTATTTATGCCCGCCGCTCTAATTGCGCACAGCCCCACGCAGCCGCCGCCGCCCGCGCTAATTGTAATTAATTTCCAATTTAAATCTTCGGTATCAAGATTAATCGCACCCTCTTGTGGCCGCCGGCGTGAAACGGAGCGACGATTTTGCAATTAATTTCTCCGCCAATTGGATGCAAATTGATTTGAATGGAGCTTTGCTCCCGGCGAAATAATACTGACTAACAATAAGTACTATTCATGTTTTAGTAAAGAACTAATTTCAACCACTACAACCACTTTGTTTTTTAAGATTGTGTTATCTAGGGAGTAGGAGTTGATGAAAAGGCAAAAAATTTATGCATGAAAAGTGTTTTTACTGCCTCAGGGTTTCAAAGAAGTTTTTTTTAGAAAATGAAATTTTTATGGCAATTCCAAAAAATCGTCCTAAAATTTAATTTATCCTCAAATTGATGTTTTAAAAAATTGTTGTTTTTTTTTTAAATTTTTTCTTTAATCAATTGCATTTAAAATATTTCAATAATATTAAATAGTTCCATTTTTGCTTTACTACTCATTCATAAGTGCCAGCAGATTTTTAATGAACGAGTAATTTTTTTCAGATATTGGTTTTAAAATTTTTGTAATAGATCAATGCATTCTTTTTATTAGTAGAGATAACCAAAAACATTTTTCAATTACAATTTTCTAGTGTTTATTATTTTGAAAATAATTAGTTTGGATTTTGAAACGCTCATAAAAAGAATAAAATTATGGTTTAACACTATACTATGTTTTTTTTTTATCACGATTGATTGCTCTTAGTGAATTTACCAGTATATCCGTTTTATTCATCATAAATTTAGAAATTTTTTATTTTGTACTCACCTTTGGCAGGGTTGGGGATCAGGTTTCTGTGAAGGGGGCTGCGAGGGCCGCCGGGGGCAGAGGCGAGCAAGGCGGCCGGCACTTGCTGCTTTCTCTTGTGGTTGCACAGCCTTGTGTTGTCTGACGGGTCAGGTATCAGAGGCCAGGCCCTGTTTGTCACCTGTCAACACCAACAATTGCTTATTGAGTGCGAATACATAATTGTCACAGCCGAACTAATTGCGAATTGATACGGAGCCGAGCTGGTTGCATAAGGGGGTGATTAATCAACACGTACACGTCGCCGACAGGAAATTCCGCACGATTGATTTCACGCGCGTTCGGAATTTACGACGACGGAGGTGTTGCGAAATTTTCCGCAACATCGATCCGATTGCGAGCGGGAAAATCCGGCGCTTTTATCTGTGTGCGTCAGGGGTAGATAAATAAATTCCATTTGCTGCTTTCATCCCCCGGCGGAGCGGCGATAATCTCGGGGAAAAACCATTCCATTACCGATGGATGCGCAATATAAAAAAGGGCGCACGAGAAATGATTTCCAAAATTCTTTTTATTCCCCGGACGAACGCAAACACGAAGGAAAAAAGGGACCCCGGGTGATTTGTGTGTGTGTGTTTGATGGTGCAAAGGGAGACGGAACACAATAATGGCATTTTGGTAAACCGCTGCCTGTGATATGCAAATTCGGAATCTCGTTCCGAGACGGGATTGCTTATTAGAACTAAAAGTCTTACTCGGAAAAGAAGTAAGAAGGGGAGACAAAAGGAGGGATGAATAATTTAGAGGATGCTGCGATGTCAAACTTTCTGTGGGCATGGTTTTTAGCTCTAAATAGATCCTTTTACTTTTGTTGGAAGATTCTTGACCATGAGTGCTTGTTTAATTCGTTTTTCCCCGAGCTTTGAATTTTTCCACTTCATAAATATTCAAATTTTGAATACTTTCCAATTTCAAAATTTAAAGGGTTTGGAAAGTATATCTGGAAGTGAATAACTCTGTACTTAATGAAAATGTTAAACCAACAAACCTTAAATCTTTAGAAAAAGAACTACATTTGAATAGAATTTCTGCAAGTTTCAACTCCCTCAGTTGCTCTCAGTTTTACTAAAAGCAGCATGAAATCAAGTAATTTTATTTAATGATTGTACTGGGAAAAATTTAAAACCACTTTTTTGTAGCCAATTAACAATAATTGAAAAGTAGCACCAAGTTGCAAGCTATTTTTTATATTATAACTTTTTGTTATTATTTTGGTCTCATTAATTCATTAATTTTCGGCGAAATAAAGGAAATAATAAATTCGGTGGCAGCCCCTCTCGACTTTTGTTCGTCCCGGTGTGTCTGTATACGATTTCATATTCCTTTTCAATTACCACGCAGACACAAAAAGCTGCTGAGCATGAAAGCCATCGCACATACTGTATGTACACGGTCTAAAATTCCCCCTTTAAATCGCAAGCCCTTCCTTTCTATCAGCGCATAACAGCACACACACGGCAGAGAGGCCCTTTGAACGGGGCGATTCTTTATTTTATTTGATATTATTATGCAAGAGCCAGTTTGGTAACTTCAAACACTGGAAGCTCTCTCGCTGCACGTAGTCATCCCCTGATGCTTTTCATTTATTACTCTCTCTGGCGGCAATGAGTGTCTGCGCCGAGGTATCTTTTCAATATGAAAAGGTTTCCCTCTGCGCTGCGTAATAGAGGGTAGCAAGGGATGAATTGGGGGCAGTGACAAATGGGGAAGCACATGCGTGACTCAATGTTCATCCAACAAAAATTTGTTAAATATTAATATAAAAACGCCAAATTAAAAAATTCAACGCCAAAATTATGGTTTTGAAGCTATTTTTTTTTTAAATATTGATCAATTTTAATCCCTCTTACCCAAATTTTGTTTTATAACAATTATTTTGGAAAACATATGGTAGGAAGAAACAATTATAATACGAATTTGATTTCCAGAAAAATTTCATGAAATGTTAGTGGTAATTTTTTTAGTCATGAACGGTCATAAACTAATTAAAATTTTGATTTAAAAAAATTGGAGAGTAATACTTGCTATTGAGATTGTCAATCAAGTATTATTCGGTATTATTATTAATTAAAATGAACAGGCAGTACTAGAACATAATAAAGTGAAGCGAAACTTATATCATGTTATTATTGATTAAAATGTTTTTAATTGTAAAAACATTGTAAATTTTTCTATTTCTATTTACTTTATATAATAAATAATACCACATAGCTCCATAAATATAATTTAAATAAGATAAAATAATATAAAAATACCGCATATAATAAAAAAGAAAATTAAACTTTTTAACAATCTACATTAAAATTAACAGTAACACAAGAATTTCTGAACTAAATTAACGAATATCATATTTTTCCACTGCCCGTGTTAGGTGCTTTAGTAGCGGCAAAACCTCCCGTCCATGTTTTATGTACGTGTGTGCTAGAGAGGACACCATAGTAACAACTGCTGCCGAAATATGATGTGATGATGCTCCCCCTCGATATCATCCACGCAGTGCACAGCAATAAAAAGCACGGGGAGGCCTGAACAAATTTCGACGCTCACAGCCGAATTCCATTACGCGCAAAAAAGATGAGAGCAAACATCCACACACGTGATTTCAAATACAGAGGGACCGACGCGCACTGCACGTGCTGTTTGATTTTTGTGCGGTGAAAAGCGAGAACGATTTCCGCGTATTACGCAGCGCGCAGGAAAATTCGACGGAAACTTTAAGCCGTTGCCAACTTCCTACATCCCTTCTCGCGACGACGGCAACAGGATCAATTTTGCGTCGCGGCAAAACGACGCTTTATGCGATTTGATCTCTCGGGGTGGAAAGAAAAAAAGAAAAAGCGGTGCTGAGTGAATGGAGCTGCGGTGATTTGTGAAAGAGACCCGCGCCAAATGAAATGGAAAATGGATTGGTTGAAATGAATAAGGGGAAAATTTAGCTCCAAATGGGATTTCCAAAAGCTGTGAAACTGATGAAGATGCAAAAGAGATTTTCGGAAATTTGACTTTTTGAAATTGTCATCTGCAGATTCCAGATTAGTGATAAAGACTCATCTTTGAAAGCATAATTTGAAACAGCATTCTAATGTGTGTATTCTACAAGTGCCCTTTTCCGTGAGTGAAAATTAGCCGGGAAAAAGCAATGAGTTTAGGACTCGTAAATACGACTGAGGAATTGGAGTGAAGTCTTAAGTAGTTTTAAGAGGATTACTACAAAGTAAAGACCATAAATTTAATTCAAAACTCAATTCATTTACTTTAAAAAAATCATTCCTAAAAGTTTCTATTAAAGTTCGTACTGAAATGAAACAAAAAACCAAATTGACTTTCAACAATTAAACAAAATTTTTTAAATTTTGAATAGAAAAATCATGTTCCTCTATTTCTTCTGAAAATTTATCATAAAAATAAGTTTTAAATTAGAAAAAATACTCAAGCTTGTTGTTTAAATTATAATTTATTTTGATGTACTTCCAGAATTAAAAAAAAAAATGAATTTTTACCAGGGCCATGGCAAAAAACTTAAATAGCCCTTTAAAAACGCCACCACTGATGATTATTTATAACAAGCTTATCAACCCCTTCTGGGAGGCATCTCATCACCATCTCAATTCAAACTCACAAAAACCTCTCTCTCAGACCAGCCAAGCAAAAACACTAAAAGTGCATCATCTCCAACGGGAATTCAAAAGACCTCTTATTCGCACGGAGACAAAAAAAATTGGACAAAAACAAAATTCATCAGCGGCCTCTGCGGAAAAGGTCCTTGACCTTCTTTTTATTCCCTTTTTTTACTCCCTTCAGCTTGAGAATCACTAATGACGCGTCTTTTTTGATAAGGCAGCAGCAGCAGCCGACAAATTCGATTCCCATGCATCAAAAAGTTTTGCTCTCACGACCTCGGCTTTGTACAAAGAGCAGGCCTATTTTTTTACATTGTTTCCCTTTCATTCCCATACAGAGCGATGAGCGCGTACATAAATTTTTTTCATGCGTGGTCTTTGAACGAAACGGATAAAAAAAACATCAGCCGTGTGTGTGTGTGTGTGTGCGGTATGCGGAGCGAGGAGAAAATTATCCCCTTAATAGGCAACAATATAAACAAGTTTATGAAGCCGCTTTATTATGTGATTATAAAAGCTCGAGGCGTTATTTTTACAAAAAAGCGGCAACTCACGCACCTCTGCTGCGGAACGAGTTCTGAAAAAAAGTGCATCTCGGAGGCGAGAGAGCAGGAAAGGAAAATGTTCAACAATGCAGCCTTCGAGGGAAAAACACGATTTCGAGTGCGATTGCTTTGTGATCGTGTTAAATCATCTGTGCACGGCGTTGGAACGCCTTTATTATCGCAGCCAACCTCGAAGGGAAATCATCTCGACAGCTCAATCTCGGATTCTTGACCTCGTTCGCAGCGAATTGTGATTCACTTTCAGCTTCGATTCTCTTCACTTGCGGACAAATGCTTTGATTCCTCTTGCCGCTTGTCTGACAACTTTGATCATTGAAAGAAAGAGAGACGGACGCGATACCACTAATTGAGATTGGAATCTATCTCTCAGCAAATTAGGCAACCGGCGCAACAGGCTTGTGCTGAGCCGGTTGCATAACCACAAAGAAGCATTTCTTGTGATTCCAATGATCAATATTTTTTTTTCATTCAAATATCATAAAATTTTTATTTTAGAAGAAGTTTGTAATAAAATCAAGGCATCAATATTTTTCTTAATTAATTTAAATGAGTCTCTTATTGTGAGATTTGAGCCTAAAAGACACGTTTTTTTTTTAGTAACACACTTTTCCGCCAGTCTTATTGTAAAAATGTCTATTTCTTTGGAAATTTCGCAATTTTTTAGCCTGACAATATAATTTGTATTTTTTTTTATTAAATAATATAATAATATTTTTTCTTACCTACATTGTTTCAGTAAATAAATTTGAAAAGCCTTTATAAGGGCTCAGATTCAGCAATTTGGCACAAGTAAACTTTTTGAGCATAATTATCAACGACAAGTAAGTATTATGAAGTGGATATAATTTTACCTTGGGGTCGAAGCAGAAGACGTTGTCAAGGTGCAAAGGACACTCCAGGCCACACTTGCAGTTGCCAGGGGTTATCAGGTACTGACGGGCTGCCTCACGGGAACAGATTTCGGCACCACTAGGACTGAAATCAAAGGAAGCACGACATTAATATCTAGCAAGTTAAAATATAAGAAATATTGATTTAAAATTTTTTTAAATAGTTTATTTAAAAAGGTATTTAAGTTTTTCTATTAAATTAATGAATTTAATTTCATTCAAAATTTTCAATTACAAAATAAAAAAATTTTGCATCGCTTTCTAAAAATTGCGTCAGATAAACTAACCAATAATATTATTAGCTAGCATCTGGCTAGCAACATTAAAATAGAATGGAACTTCACATCTAGTCGCACAGAATTTAAAAATTTTAATCAATTAGTTTGTTTGCAAATCGTAAGATGATAAATTGAACGATGTATTTAATTTAAAAATTATTTCAAACAATAATTATATTATAATCCTAAAGGCTCACTGTTCAGGGACATTTACAACATTGTTTATTTCCATAAAAAGATAAATTGATTTCTTTTTCCTCGGTCATTAGTCAGGAAGGTTAATTTGTAAATTTTATGTTACTTTGGAATATCTAGTAAAATTGAAATGCCTCGGGCAAATTAATTTTTATCATGAAATCAAATGCGACACACAAAGAGCTAAAAAATCCCACGCAATTACTCATGCCTGGCGCGACATTGTTCATTCGAGTAACCACGCACGCCAACCATTATGCACAAAGCTGTGACTCGGCCGGCGGCGTCTCGCTCGCGAAAGGTCAAACAAATTAAAACGCCCAAGCTGCGACAATGTGTGTTGTTTGTAGTGCAAAAAGAGTAACAAATTGGCCACTTAGGTGCAATTTTCACTCGGAACTATTTCAAAATAGCAAAAGCGGGGGAATTGCGCAGTTTTGCAAACGCGGAAATGATTTCGCGCTCGGCCGAAAAATAAAAGAGAGACGAACGAGCTCGCTGGTTTTGACTCGTCAAGGACGCGCGAAAATGCAGCTCTTTTTATTTTATTTGAGAGAGGCGAGCGCCGCGCTTTTGCCTACTAATAACCTTGTGATTTTGATCGAGCGCCTGAACAAAACTTGCAGAACAACTTTTTTAGAATTAAAGATAGGCCGAGGCAATAATTCATCTGCGACCATCTACATCAGTTTTACTTCTATTTTCAGCTGTCAACAATAAATTATGTAAACACATTAATTAAGAGCAAAAATCGAATTTCTTCTTTTCTTCATTTATAAAACTTTTTGAAACTGAACTAAAAAATTATGATAACATTAAGACTAAGTTATATAATTAAGTGGTAATATTATAATTTTTTCCTCTTCTTGCAATTTTCAGCAGAAAAATCATCTTTTGCTTCTAAAAAAAAATCGATTTAAATTTTGTTATTCTAGGAAGACTGCAGATTAAGAGAAAAGGAAAATCTATGAGAAATATACTAAAAGAAGAAAAAACCTAAAATTTATTTTTTTAGAATCAATGGATTCAGTTTTTATTTATTTTTTATTTAATTTTTTTTAGAAACATTTTGGCTAATTGTCGATAAAAATAATCCTATTAATTATACTTATCTTAAATTTTTGGGAAATAGATTAAAAAATCATATTTATAAGTCACAAAATGTGTTTAAATGGAGAAAAATCTGGCCTAGATCTCGTGCTGTGCTTCAACAAGTCAATTACGTGGTCATTTGCGTGCAACTCTAGCAAAATTTTGCCGGCAAACGCCGTGTCGGCGAATCCAAAACCAATGGAGCGAGCCACACTCGTTATAAGTTATAAATTGATGAAATAAGGACTTGATAAACTCACCAAAATATAAATTGGTGCGACGACAAGCGAGATAGAATATAAATAAAATTATTCACTTTTCGCCAGCTCCGAATGAGTGCAAACTTCCAGCATGTTATATATTTTTTTACACATAAACACGTTTGGGTTCGTGCACTGCGGGGCGGCCCCATTCATCATGCGGAAAGATCAATATTTGCTTGTAATACACGTCCGAATAAACAGCAGAGTTCCCCCCGCAAAAACAAAAATGTAAAAAAAATCAGCTCATTTTTGGTGAAAAGCAAACTCGTTCGGCACTTGGCGCCCTCTCCTTTTTTAATGAAAAGTCTCTCTTTGCCTTTGAAAAAAATAAAAAACGAAAAGGGCACGCTGAGAGTCATTATGAAATACGCAAGACGTAAATAACAATAATGACCGAAAAACGGCACTGCTTGGCGAAGAGCTTGAAAAGGTGCGAGTCTCTCTCGCTCTTCTTCTCCTTTGCAAAACGTCACCCTTTGTGACACAAAGGCTTTTGCCCTCCCAATAACTGAGAGCTAGACCATTTTTGTCCATTTTTAGCTTTTCTCTGCGAGTCTCCATTGAAGGCGATTTCTGCGTGTGTGCTTCTTTTTGTATCTCACTCGGCGCAGGCTTTGCGTCTTTGAGCTCCGCCGGGGTCGCTGGCTTGCCTGGCTTTGTGTAGGTCTGCGCGCCGTTGTTTATTTCTTTCCAAATGCAAAAATATACATCCACACAATGCACGTACCACTCTGGGCTTTGGCGTCATTATTGCTTTTTACGCGACTCGTAATATGCGACTAAAAATATTGTAAAGCCCGCCAGAGTGGGTCTCTGACTACGGGCGACAATTCTTTGCGCACAAAGGAGCGACGTTCTAAACGCGCAGAGTTGAGAACATCCATTATTTGCCATCCTGACAAATGGCAACTGAGCTAAAATGTGTAGGTAAACAATGAATTTAGTTGTTCAAGTTTTTCTATCATATTTAAAGTTTATTAAAAATATATTTTATTTTATTATCGATATAAAAAACAATTTCAACAAGTTTTTCTAACAATTATCAATTAGCACAGTTGATTGGTATATATTACTTCACATTCATATTTATTAAAATAAATGCAATCAAAAATTAATATCAACGAAGGTTAAAAAATATGGGCATAATGGTTTTTTTTTTTAATATTTACTGTAAAATAAACTTCATAGCACAATAAAAAATGGTATAAATTAAAATTTAAAAAATATACAAAGTCGTTTGTAGTTGAACCTTTTAATTAGAAATGAGGCCATTGTTCTCGAAATATTCAATATTCCTGATGTGCAGAAATTGCTCTGCGAAAAAAACGGACTACACATCTATACATGAATTTGAAGGACGTGGGCGGTCTTTCTAGTAAAATTTGGAAAAAAATATTAAGCACAGTATTATCAATATAACTAATTTATTGCACCTTCCAAAATTTTTAGGAAATTGCTCTATGGTTTTATTTTAATTAATATGAAAAAAAAATACAAGGTTCATTATATTTTTTGTTGATGAATTTATTGTGCACACGCTTTTTGAGTTAATTTCTTAGCTTTTTTTCTGTTGTGTCTACAGCCGTTTGTGTGTGCAAACAAATAAGAGAAAAGCTCGCGATTTGACAAAAGCAGCCAATCCATCAAACCGCGATTCGTTGTGCATTCGTGAGTCACTGCAAGAGTGGCTCGTGCTGCCGCGCGTTTTTATTATTTCCATCGCAGACCGACCGCAAATTATTGTTGGTCGTAATGTGTATGTTTATGAATCATGTGCTCAAAGGGCGCGCGTGTTGTTTGGCGTGTATGTACAAAAGCAGTACATATTATTATTGCGCGCACGGTATGTGCCGAGATGCATTGCGTGTCGAAAGCTCATACTCGCACAATAATAGACACACACGCGGCAAGCAGGCCAGGGAAATATAATATGTGCGCGAAATGACCCTGTATAGAGTAGTGGAAATAAAAGAGAGAAATAACAAGCGAGTGTGGTCATTGAGGGCGATTCAACACCCTCCGTTTGCCACTGGATAAACTTATGCCTAGATTTGATCAAATGATCTTGATATTTAAAACTTTCTGTGGAACATTGAAATAAATTACAAGGACTGCTATATTATTTAGTTTATCATTGATCAGTTGGCTGAAAATTAACCATATTTATTTCAATCTCTGCTTTATTACAAGTTTGTTCAAAAAGGTTGATTATCATTTTAAAGCGAATACGACAAAAAAAAAAAAAAAAAAGACAAATTTCTATTTCTACTCCTCTGTTATGCAGAATGATATAATGAAGCTTATCCATAAACAGTAAAAGTATTTTAAAAGGAATTATGATAACTATTTTAAAAACTATATAATTTTAATTTCCATTTTGAAATTCATTCTTCATTTCACAACGATTGACTATTTTAAATTGAAATCCATGTATTAATTTCTATCCACTTCATATTCTGATTTTCTTTCTCCAGGGAACATCTCAGTTTATTTTGAATCACCCTCACATTTTTTTTAGTTCACTTGGTCAATCATGGACTCGCCTGACCTCTCCGTAAAAAGGATGCAAATCGTGTATGAAAAGAAAAATTTGTTTTATATTCAAACCTGCTTCCGCATTCGTTCCGAGCTCTCCTTTGAATTCCGTCAGAGAGGGACGATTACGTGATTTCCTCGTCGCTCTTTTCACACACACAGAACCCTCGGCAAGCTGCTCTCCCTCGAGAGAGAAGAACTCTTTTTGTACAAATATATATAAAAAGGACTCCCTCACGCCCACCTTTTTAATACTTTCAAATTGTAAGCGCTCGATTCATGCTCTCGTATATACGTGATGTGTAAACACGCGAAATGACGTCATTCGTTTTTGATCACACACAAACTCTCTGTGCACTATTTCGGCTCCACGTAAAGCTAACGAGCCCACTCGCAGCAGAACGGGCAAATAATTAAAGAGGCGGATGATTCGCCAAAATCAAAACGCCTCCCTTTGATCCTTTGTTCCTCTGCAGAGAGCGAACATGGGCGTTCTCGGAATTATCGACAGATTGGAGAAAAATTAAATTTTGGCATCTGTGAAGTCGTCGGAACGCCAAGGAAATTATCATTAAATTTGACGCCGAGCAGGGAATAAATATTGCTCTTGGGGAGAGACAATTTTGAATTGTAATTGGTGTAGAATTTTCCAGCACTTTTCAGGCGGTAACGTAACACGCCTGTCTCTCATTTCGCTTTTAGATGCGCACTTAATAATGGCG